TCTCGAATGATCGACATTTGCGACAACGTTATAGCCAGGAATCGAGAGCTGCTCGTTCTCCACTTCTTGCAGAAACACGATGTCAAGCTCCATCGTTCTGATAAAAGTTCGGAAGGCGTTGAGTTTTGTTTCGTTGGTGATCGTGTTTATATTGATAGTAGCGATTGGATTCACGATTGGTTTTCCAGATATCCTCTAGAGTTTGAGCTGTGCGTTGACATTGCCGAGTCATCTGTCTCGTTGCCATCGGACTTTCCACCATCAGGGGGCTGTTGACCGGACGTGTTGGACAGCGACCTTTTCTCCGGCGGCGGTTTTGGACCCGATGCGGGTATGATGGGGAGAGTGAGTGGAGGAAATTGTGTCTCCGACTGCGTGTTAATTGGTTTTTGTGTAACCGACAACAACTGCTGTTTCGGCTTCTTCGACGGTGGGGGTTTTGTCTGCAACGTTGGCTTTTGACTCCGTGGCTTCGCATTTGGTTTGGTTGGTGTTGGTGCAGGCTGCTTTGTCGCATCGGCATACGACTTCTGCACTAGCAGCTTTTTGTTCTGCACGCAGGTGGCGCCGATGTGGATGAAATCCCGGCAGTGTCGGCAAGTTTGACGTTGACCAAAATAGGATAGCAACGTCGATTCCCCGTCGATAGTGACCCACGACTCGATGCTGTGTTTCACGATCATCTTGGCAATCCGAACACCAGTGGAAATGCCCGGAAAGTACAAATCACCTCCGCACATGTGTTCGCGAACTGAGATGACGTCACCGTACGCGGACAGGAATTTGATGATGGCTTCGTCCGATACGTCCTCAGACAGATCATACAGCTTCACCTCCACTGCCCCGTCTTCCATGGTCATTCGCAGGGGAACCATCTTCCCCTCACTCACTTGCACTTCGTGTTTTCCGTCGTGTTCTTCGCACACTTTTTGTGCCAGCTCCAGGTCGACGACCTTCACGAAGGCACACCCGAGACTTCTGCTACACTGTATTCTCAGCACTTCACCGGGCTTTAAACCCAACATGGTTCCAACAAAGTTTTGCACTTTTGCATAGTCCGGTTTTTTCGGCAAAATCGCATAATCTATGAGGAATGTGTTCACGCGACGCGCCATCGTGGAGTCGTAGTACGCAGGAACACGCTACGGCTCGGCGATGGAAAAACGCAGCGCGACAAACGATATATAGCTTGAGATCGACTTCCAGAAATAGCGATAGCGTAAGTACGTCTGCTTGGCTCGGAAATTGAGCGCTCACTGTACTGATTGGCACTAGATTGCGGAACAGAGGCCGACGTTAAATAAAGGAAAGAAGAAGGAACATGTCGATGTAGCATTGCTGCTTCCCCAACACTGTCATCAGAGAGTCGTTAGTAGACGAAACAAGTCGAAGTGGTAATCGCCTCCGGTCTTCGGGCGTGTGCGAATAAGGAAGATGCAATTGCGTAACATTTTGCACACTCACCGCCATATTCAGAACCACACAAAATGCTCTCCAGAGTTGTAATCTTGTAACCAAACTTGGAAGCAGGGGTGCAAGTGATTTTGATCGATTCTATTCATCGACTTTCTGTTTAGTTAATAACTCGACGGCAAACACATTCATTTATACGTGTGTTGTTCTGGATGATAGAAGAGCATAGCAGAAATAGTGCGAAATAGGTTAGTGAAACCAAAAGAGGAAATCGATGAAGATAATTGACTTTCACCCCTCTGCTTCTAAGCCCCTTAATTCAGTCGTCGTCATAGCAATAAAAATTAGCATCGCACCGCTTTTGGCTCTTGGGTTACACTTGCTGGTTGCAATTCTGTTGTTTGTTTATCGAATTTTCAATTATTCGAGCGTGTAACCGACATCCCTTCTTGTTTCTACTTGTTAGATTTAGCGCAGTGGAGAAAATAAATAAAAGTACTAACTTATCTGAACAGGCGTAGAGAAGCATCATGAAGCGAAACAGGATCATAAATTCGCCGAAAAAAGTGTTAAGCGTCTTACTGCTAAAGGCTAAGATTTAGCAACTTGTTGAGAGAAGAAGTTTAACGAGAAAACTAAAAAGGGGAGGAGCTTTAGTTGGGTGGGCACTGATATTCTACCGGCTGTTTCTATACAACGCATAACTTAGTGTATTTAGTGTAAATACCCAAAATGGGTGGGGCATGATTTTTTAGCTTTCGAAAAATGATAACTTGTATAATGTTCGATTGACAAGCGGCAAAACCGTAAAAAGAGGAGGAACTTCGGCTGATATGCCCTTAATTGTTGCTTTCGTCCACACAGTAGCTGACCGAAGCTCCTCCCATTTGGTCGTGTCCAGTGCCGTATTATTTATTAAATCGCATCACAGACTTTCCCTGTAATATCTTTGCATCTCTCAGGTGAATCACATTTCATCGTCATTATTATCTTCAAAATTTTAAAGACGACAACTATGACTCGCCGTTCAAGTGGAAGCCGTGCTTCTGTCAATTCTAGTTCCTGCATTTCCAGGCATCAAATTGCCGCTCTTATGAAGTCTTTTGTGGGCAACAGTTCGAGAAGGAGCCGTCCGGCTGCCATTTCTGGTTCCTGCAATTGCAAGCAGCAAATTGCTGCTCTAATAAAGGTTTTGTGTACGACCAGAAGCGGAAGACTAGCCGAACTCGCCAGAGAAAGCGGAGAAACAGCAAAATATTCATGGACCGGAAAATTCGGGTACTTGGTAGCAAACTGTTTGTTACCTTCAGTGTTTCGCTCATTTCTACTCACCTGCCACATCTGAACCGGATGAATCGCCGATTAAATTTACAACAAACGGCCCTTTTCAGGGCCACCAATTTATCTTCAAGAGGGTGGTTGGGCACCAAGATTTTCAAAAAGAGTTATATTTCTGAACATGTCCCAACTAAAATTCATATCAAAAGGTTCTTTTCAGGACACTCATAGTCATACTAAAGAGTATAAACAGAGAGAACCCCGCTCAAATTTATATTCCTACAAAAAACACAAGCTCCTGCTGCAGTTCACAAATAAAATTAATAACCACGTAGTCCTACGTCACCATTGCGTACAACTCCATAGGGCTGTCCCTTGTAGTTTTTTTCTCGGTCATTTTAAAATTCCCGGTTTTCCCGGTTCTGTAGCCACCCTGTGTATTGGTAAGAGTTTTATATGTTTGACTAATGAACAATTTTATAGAAGACACCAACTCTCCAGAATGAATTATCAAAAAGTTGCATTTTCAATAGCAGTTTAGACCAAGTTTAGTACAATTCTTTTTTTTAACCAAAAGAAAGCGCTTTACATTACAAAAAAAAAATATTGCCAAAGACACAAAATCCCTTCTATTCCAGGACCACTGAGCGATATGTTGATCCATTATTGTATACGTTACAGTTATGGGTCAGCTAATAATAATTATGAATCTGTCAGTCCAGCGTATAAGTCAACTGGAAGCGATCTTCAAATGTGCAGTGATTGTATGACATATAATAAGTCTAGATAGAGCTGGAATTAGGGAGTAACAGCATTTGTTTACAATCACTTCAAGTCGTGGCTCACCTGGGCGCGTCTTATTCCTAGAAACTATCGGGTGACTTCTCGATTTCTTAAACAAATTTCTTAATTCAATCGCTCCCTCGTTAAAAATTCGATCAAATGACCCATTCAGCCTAGTGACCATACAAATATTCCATGACTCAGTTGCTCAGTAAGAGCTCGGGCTTTGCAAACATAAGAGATCTCTAGCTTAGAAAAGTGATGCAAATTGATTTTTGTTTTATTAGGTAGGTATCACGAGAATGTCATTTACTTTTCGTTAACAAATATTGTTATGATCACTAGGCCGAATGCCAGTGTTGATAAAAGTTGTACACACAAATTACCTGAAAATGAATTTGAATTTTGACATAAAAACCTTCTCTTGATCATGGCAACCGCCGTGTTTCGAAGTCAACGTTTGTTTTTGTTCATTCGTGGATGGATGTTCGCTATCGCCTGTGTTGTTGTAAATATCAATATTCGTCTTCAACTTGGTGGGGATGATTATGAGTATCAAATGCAAAATCATTACATATTATCAATTCAATGTGAACGTGTTGTGTTGTTTTTCACGCTCAGATCGAAGGAAATGCTGAATGGATGGTAATATCGAGATTTTTGACCTGTGATCGGATCGATAATATTCAAAATAATCATTTTGCCCAAAACGAAATTGATTTTTTTTTGCTATTGAGGATCGCTTCCGAATTTGACAATGTGAGTTGAATACTCAAGCGTTGATAAATACAGTACTTGCTCGCCAATAAACACTGAAACACTGAGGGGAACTGCAATGGATTGTTTGACCAACGTTAAACAAATTTCACGTGAATTGGATGAAGACATTGTAAATTTGTTATTGTTATTTTCACAGCATTCAAAACTCGCGAGTTTGGAAAGGCTTAAAGCTTTCGCTAAAAACACTTTCAAGTCTTGATTTCAGTGTGAAATGATTTATTTTATACAAGTTTATTTATCTTCTTCCTCTTCTTCTTCGTATTTGAAGCTTATTGCTTATCGCATAGTAGCTTATTGCGTGCTCTCAACTTAGTGTTCTAGATGCAATTCCACTCTTATTAATTGAGAGCTTTCGATGCCTGTACCATTTTTGCATTAGTATAATTGTGTGACAAGTACAATCATTCCCTATGCCCATGCGATTTATGAACAATCCAAATTACCCTTCAACCTGTTCCATCGTTCAGGTCATTGGTTTCGCTTACCAATATTTATATTTGTCCTGATAAAGGGTTCACCTACAGGATTACGTTTGACTAAGTGAATTACAATAACATCAAATCCATCAAAACAACCATCATATGCGAGGCTGAATCAGCAGTTACCATTAAATCAGTAATTACCCATTATAAACAGACGAACCTTATCTTATCAGTCAAATGAGGCAGGTAACCAACAAGCCAGTGGCTAACGTATTGAACGATTCCTGACAAATTCATTCGACCTATCGATGAATCATTACTTACTTGCTTTTTTGAACTCCTCCGTTTCGGCTAGCAGTTCGGCAGCTTTGTCTGCCCCGACATAATTCGGAATCTTATTGAACACGGAAAACCGACGCAGCGGCGACAGTTTCTGGTCCTTTATCTTTTGCCATGTGTCCAGGCGGATCGAACGTTTGGTAACTTCTTTCGCTAAAAGAATAGAAATAAAAATAGATGATCGAATTAGTTCTCCTACCTGTCTGGAGACGATATGATTTATGTGGTGTTTACATCTGTGCTTTTTTGCTAGCGCTAGTTTACTAGCACTGTACTAAAAAGTAGCCAGCATAATGTAAACAGGGCGTCAGCAACTACCGAGATTTCAGGAACAACTGAAATTCGCGCTAGTTGGCTGAGCTGGTTAAGCTAGTAAACTAGCTTAAGTGTAAACAGCTCATTAAGCATCTAGAGAGAAGGATGATAACGGTAGAGAACGCGAGAAGAAATTCCTTTCCTATTACGAAATGCTATTTTCTGACATCATCGAAAACGATGGCTCATCATTCGATTGGAAGCAGAATATTATTTTCTGCGTGATGGCTGTTCTTACCGCTATCCTCGTATAAGCAAGTTAACTTGACGCAAGTAACAGGCGGCAAGCAAATAAACAAATTCAAGTCGGATACCAAATTCGATCGTAAATAAAGATGATTTCACCCGCCGTTCCCTCTTCTCTCTAGTGCTAAAGCTATAAAATGAAGCGAAAAAAAAAACCGATTGCCGCATGTCAAATAAGGGCAACGAAGCGAAAACCTCATTACGCTCAATACTCACGTTTGTCTTCCTCTGGAGGTGATTGTTGCGCTGGTGGCAGTGTTTCGTTTTGGTCTTCCGTTGCCATTTTCACACCCAAAATCCTTATCCGCAATCAACGGGAATCCACTTCGGAACCTAAAACCCAAAAGAACCAACGAAAATTTCAATTGCCTGCTTCGATCAGCCCAACTCCGCGCCTACGTTTTCTGAATCACTCACTACCTACTTCTCTAGAACGATCGGAGAATGCAGTAGGCACTAATTTTTTCTCTCGAGCGCCCCAGCCCGCACAAAACATAATGGAGCGGTGTGTGCGTAAAATACATTCGCAGAGGAAATTAGATCACTGCATCATTCACAAAAAGAAAAAGCCGTGGAAATTCACTTACCTTCGCTTTAGACTTCCAAGCTCACTGAATTTCAAGCCGAAAGAAAATCTTGAACTTCAATTGGTATTTCCACTCACGCAAATTTGAAAAATTTAGTTGATTTGAATCGTAATTTTCTTTTTTCGCGGACTGCTACGATGAACTCGCTACTTTCTGCATCTACAACTGTGTGCTGAATAGCGGACGCAAACATTGAGGCGTCACTTCCGGTTTTCGCAAGACATCCCGGAGGTATCGTGTGCTCGAGGTAAGCTAATTTAATGGGGAGAAAAAGAGACGAGTATTAATTTCGCATGCGAAAGAAAGGATAAGGAAATGAAACTCAACCACGGTGGGCATACCTCGTGAAATTGATTTGCAAACATCAAGGCAAGTTCACACTGTTAGTAAAATATGCTACACTGTAACTGGAAAGTACCCATTAATGGGTGAAAAAGTGCCCATTTCGAAGTAAAGTAGGTAAACTCATTTAATGGGTAAAACGTCTTTACCCATTAATGGGTAAAGACCTTGTACGTCAAATCATGGGGTACTTTTTTTACCCATTTTTAAATAATAATTGGCTTTATAAAATGGGTACAAAGTACCCAATTTTGAAATCCTTAAACCATGATTTTTCTTTTAGAATTTGTATGATTTATGGATCATTGAAAGAGCCACAATGAATAGTTAAGAGTACAAAACGTTATTTATATTTATATCTTTATTTCACCATTTTCCATCCAGTGGTCTTTCCATCGTTCGTGCAAGAAATGGTGCTCCCAAAGCTCTCCTGGGATCTCCTTGCTGATCCGGCTAGTTCTGTCCCTGCAAGTTTCAGATTGATGTTTAGATGTGGGCAGAAAGAAATAAAATAAGAAATACCTACTTTTCAAACGAGCAATTTCCATTCGACATCGTTAAGACACTTTGCAACTGAAGCGAGGACTGGAAGATGTTATCTAAGTTGCTTTTCACCCATTAATGAGTAAAAAAGTACTCATTATTCTCGCCCGAAGCGCTCTGAGAAATGGGTAAAAGAGTACCCATTATTTGAAATTGAACTTCACCCATTATTTGACAGCCTCATATAGTCATCAAAAATGGGTCCTTTTTTACCCATTAATGGGTACATGGCAGTTGCAGTGTACACGCTAATGTCTGTACATCAGATTAAATATATTTAACTCTCGCGTAATATTTGAAAACGGGCCAAAAGCTTTTGTTAACAAAAGTTTGTTGAGAGTCCGTGAACACTCAAAAAATATTGATATCTAAATAGTATAAAAGCTACGCTAAATCGCAACTCTCCTGACCGACGCATAGATCGGTATAAAAGCACCGCAATGGGAGGCGCTATCTATATCCCTATATTGCGCGTTTCACACCAATAAGTTTACGTCTATTCGTCTTGGTGTCTTGTCACTTATTCTTTATGATGCAAGCAATAAGTGCTCTGAAGACATCAAAACGATTTGACGGAAACGTGCCCTTTTATCACACTTTTTGCATTTTTGGGACAATAAGGCTGTCCACGAGACAGTTGCGATCAGCTGACTTTTTTGTTTACCAAGAACTTTTGACAGATAACAGTAGACCTGACAGTTCGCTCGCATATGAATTTCTGCTTTTTTATGTTTACATTCAGCACCAGATCACGCACACACTCTTGATTTCTAGCTGTCAGTTCCACTGAGAAACGTCGCTTGGATCACCTTATCCAGTTTCAGATGCAATCAGCAATAATAAGGCTCCATCTAGGTACACACAAAGAAAAATCATTGCTAAAATTAAAAAAATCATTGATAGAATTAAAAGTTCGCATTGGTTCTTTTTGGTAGAAAGCGGTTGACTTTCAAAACAAAAGTCAGCCAACTGTTAAATCAAAAATTGTTCGCTCTATACTTTTAAAAGTTAAAACTTTCAAAATAAATTGTGATACTGTCAAATTAAAAGCACGGCAGTGATGGAATTAAAATCAGGTTCATTTCAATTCAAGACGAAGTTTTGGTTTGAAAATGTGATATAGTTAAAACGATAAGTAACATTTTGAAATAAAAAACACACATTTTCACCGTAATAACATCTTTATTCATTTTAAATTCTAAATAATATTTAATTTAAGGTTTTTAGATATTAGAAAAAAAGATCAAAATACATTTATTATCCATTTCCTTTACAAATAATTAAGCGTTATGCAATAAGATTCACGGAGAGACACATATTCACATCCCGTCAAGTGAAGGCCGATACGAGGAACACAAAATCTGGACACTGGCAAGGCAAGCTTGATATTGTTTTCCATTTCGCAATCTGTAAATCCTATGCCGCAGCTTCATAAAGTACCAACAGGTGACGGGTTTTACGGGCAGCTGGTTCTCGTCCTTCTCCCGATCAAAGTTTAATTTACCTTTTTCGTTATTATTCAGTAGGGCTTGATCCTTCTCCAACAGGAATTTGATAAGGTCTATACCGAAAACTGTGTCGACTTCGTTCTGGTAGATTCCATAGCCTGATAAAAAAAATAATCTAAACATCCAATAACAATAACAATGAAAATAGTGTACTTACCATTTGGAATGCCAATTTCACGTGGGTCTTTACATAGCAGCAAATAATGTCGGAATATCCAACTAAGAAAACTTCAGTGTCTGGTATCCCACAGAAGAATCCTGACTCTTGTTGTAACTTCAGAGCTGGATTTCATGTTCACAGCGGCCAGACTAGCAGAAAAGGCGGCATATGTGATGTCAGTGCAGCCAGTAAAAACATCGCTGAGAGGTACTTTTGACAGTTTTACAACTTTTGTTTTACTTATGTACTTTTAAAACCACGAATCCAAAGTAAAAGAAAAACTTTCAATTAAAAAAACTAACTTTTATTTTGAATATTTTTGCTGTTGAATCTACAAATTTTGGGAAACTTTTAATTTGAAAATGCACTATTTTTATAAATACAATTTTCTTTGTTTGTGTGTAGCTATTTTAGATTAGCACCCCATCACAGGAGTGATGGGGTGCTAACTTGGATTTCGGATCAGAAAGTGGCTCCACTTGTCATTTGCGAACGCTAGCGCACCTAGCGGTAGAAGGCATCTTCTGCCTGCAGTTAAGATAGGCAGTATGATATGATAGTTTATTTATTTTATTTGTCAGCATCAACAGACGCGATATGGTCCCAATGATGGTTTAACTTAAAATTAAAATTAAAGTCATAAATTAAAACTACACAACATTAAAACATGATCATTGACTGTTTCCATTTCTGGAGAAGAATGAAGAGAAACGTCTCCGAAGTGTTAGTCGTGGCAGGTGAAAATCGAATACTGATGAAACTCGGTTAAATACTCGCTGCAGTCCGCCTATTGCACCATTGATTGCATAGTTTGTCTTACGTAGTGGCATTCTCAGCATAACATTGTTACGAAGCATTCGTGGTTGGACGTTAATGTTTGCTTGCTCCAAGATTGCCATGCAATCAATTCTGCCATGTAACGTGTCCTCGACAAGCAGGGATTTTAAAGTATCTCTTCTGGTGCGAAGAGGCTCGAAGTCAATCAGCTGGCAGCGACTTTCATAGCTGGGCAAATGAAACGGGTCTTTCCAAGGTAACATTCTCAACGCGTATCGCAGATAGCGGCGTTGAGCGGACTCGACTCTCTCAGTACCATTGTTGTAGTTCGGACTCGAAACCACAGAACAATATTCTAGAATGGAACGTACCAGGGAACAATACAGTGACTTGAGGCAATGGATGTCGGAGAAATTCTTAGCTGTTCTGAAGATAAAGCCCAATGTCCTTGACGACTTGTCGACGACGTACGAGATGTGTTGCTTATATGTAAGTTGAGAGTCCAAGATGCCACCTAGATCTTTTACATGGCTCACACGTTCAATAATGGTGTCCCGGAGAGCATAGTGAAAAATAACTGGTTCTTTCTTTCGGGTAAAAGTGATGACTGAACATTTCGCAGGATTTACTGTCATTCGGTTCAAATGGCACCAGCTGGCAAACGCTTCAAACTGACGTTGGAGGAATTGACAATCATCGATCGAGCAGATCCGTAAGTAGATTTTGAGATCGTCTGCATACGATAGTCGTGGACCTTCGATAACTAAATTCACGTCATTAAAGTAGAGTAAGACAATCAACGGTCCCAGATGACTTCCTTGAGGTAATCCTGACATAGCTGCGAAAATGTCGGACTGGCAGTCACCATGGGCTACCATCAACTGACGATCGGCGAGATATGAGCAAAACCATCTCAAGAGATTTCCGCTAATCCCAAGTCTATCCAATTTGGCGATCGCGACCACAACACATCGCTTGTGGAGCAGGAAAACGAACCACTTTTTGTTTCACCGATTTGTTTGCACTTCCCCTTCTGTTCTGTGACCCCATTCTTCCGCCGGTGATTCATGTTGGATTCTATTTTGAGTTTAACGACTTAAGTAATGTCTTCCTACCGTGTGTTGCTAAAACCCAAAACAATATCAAGCTGAACATTGCATTAGGTCCTAAGTAACATTGACAGATTATCTTCGTCGACTTTCTCTTTGTATTGCCACGGCCATGTAAAGACATTCTCAGCTATTTTCAGCACACAGATCGATAAAAGAAGCTTTTATCTAGCTTTTAATACGACAAACACAACAAGAAACGGTTATGTGCTCAAGTTATTAACGAAAGAGAAAGTCGACGAAGAGAATCGATCAATGTTACTTAGGACCTAATGTAATGTTCAGCTTGATATCACCACGATGAACATCGTCATATTGTTGTTATATTTAATTTTTATCGGTCGATCAATGGCAGTAGTTTTGTAGTTGTATCATCAATATTCCAAATGCATCGATGGCAGATTGTTTCCCGGAGGCAGCTGATTCCATCATTTTAAGTGACGAGTAAGACATTGAAGTTGTACAGCATTATCTTTTCCAGTCACATGAACAACTGTTGCTGCGGAAGAAGACGAGAAAAATCGAGTTCGAGGATTTCTACGAGGATCTCGACCTGAAAAAAAAACCGAATATCAACAGGCGTGCTCAGTGCTCATGTAGGAGCTGAGAGACTGTTTTAGGATTATTTCTCCGAGAATCCCACGTATACACGGATAGAAATCTCCTTATACCTTTTGGTAAATACAAAATTCGGGAAAAATAAATATTCGACGAATAATAAAACAACACGATATTTCGTCATTGCACGAAATCCCAAAACATATCGAGCTCGAATCACAAAATAATGCATTCATGAGTAGAATTTCACCCATGATCGAGCATATGATTAAGAAAAGTGCCTTAAATCGTTAAATGAGTAAAAAAGTACCCATTAATGAGTAGTTGTGACCCATAAATGAGTAGCAGTTATTAATAAATGGGTAAAAGATGCTTATTAGTGGGTAATGATCGAGATAATGAGATAATGCAAACGCTTTTATTCATACGACCTAATGAGTTAAGCCTCTATTCTTCAAAATGGGTGAAATTCTACTCATTCTTAAAACATAGTGAGTTTGATCCACGCCAGTGACATAGCCTATACCAACAGCAGCGTTTGACAGCAGGCAGCATGTCCCTGTGCTGGGCCCGGCTGGGCCCACTATCACGGTATAACATGTTGCCATAACATGGCAGGCGCGTACCACTGGGCTGGTTTGATCCGAGCATTTCAGGCATAACATTTGATAACGGCTCAAAAGCTTTTGTAAACAAACTTTTTAAGGCCTTTACATGCGAACCGAAGTACGCAGTTGGTTGGAAATGCTATCGAAAAAGAAGCTTTAATGTGATAATTTATTTAGCTACACGGATATAAATCTCCTTATACCTTTTGGCAAACTTCTATTGCTGATTAATCATAAAATGTCTCGTAAAATTTTGATATAGCTGGAATAAGGGCGTAACACCTTTGGTAAACAATGTCTTCTATCGATGATTTTTCGAAATTAAAGGCACGCCCACCCAAACCAACATAACCTACAGGAAAGGGAAGTCTTCCCCTACCAGATGGTGACGCTGATTTGAGTGAGTGAGCCTTGGCTTTCTAGATATCATCGAGAGAAGTCATTGTTTACAAAAACTGTTACGCCCTCATTCCAGCTCTATCTAGAAATGTATAAGTCAACTAATAAGCAGACGCCTTGCAAAAAGTTAATGGAGATCATGTGTCAAATGAAATGTATAAGCAGTCATACATACCTTTTCTGCATTCTTATAGGACCTATTTGGTTTGTCTTATGGAATGTATAAGGCTGATGTTTTGGCAAAAATGTATAACTAAAACACATGAATAATATAATTGATTTTCGTTTTGTGTAGAGAATGATCTTAGAAGAGGGTACACAGCAAAAAAAATGTAATATCGATCAATGGAATGATGTATGAAATGATGATGTATGACATAATGATGTAATAGCAAAAAGCAGATACAATATTACATCAATGGATGTTATTTTGTTCGCAAAATCGATGTACATCGTACAACGTTATATTACACAACCGATGTATTGACCTGGTTGCAGCAGTTTGGATATAATATTCAACAACTTTTTTTTCTGTGTAGGTAGTTAGTTCCTTAGTTAGTTCCGTTAGAGTACGGCAGTGACGGCAGTATGAAAATTGAATAGAAGTTGCAAATGAGCGAAGGGCCATCAATGTGACAGTGCAAGTCAAACGCACACCCTTTGCCTAGCCCGTACGATGTACGTGGAGATTTGAAGTATGTACCACAAACGAAGTGACAGACTCGAAAACTTTGATTACGAACCTGCTATTGCAATTTTTCAGTGTACCACATGACAACACTACTACCAACAATCAATACGAAACTAACGATTTTAAATTGGCTCACTACTTGACTAGCCTATTGGTCCCAAGCAAACGATTAAGGTAGCCCATTATAGTCGAAAATCTAGTACTACACAATGTTTTTTTTTGATTCGCTATGAAAGTTTGACAGATAAAATGAGGGGTTATTGGTTTTTCTTATGTTTCGATGGGTGAATCGATTAGCTTGGGACCGAAGAGAGTACCAGAGCTGAGCCAAAAAGTTGAGCACGTTATTTTGGGACCTTCTAGTCTTAGAGTTACCTCTATGCTACTACTGGATTTTACTAGCATTTTCACCAAATGTACTTCAAACAAAACAAAAATACTAGCCCTTCTGGTGGCTAATGGCACAAGCTTCTATGAAAATTCTATTACTGCGAACCACATTATTTTAATTGATTTCTTCGCCACTTAGTCGTCTGTCACTTTGTTTGTGGTAGTAGTATTGGACGTTAATTAATGTAATTAAAAGTATTGAAAATGTAATTAATGTATTTTAATTACGAAATTTCAACTGTAATTAATGGAGTTAAAAAGTAATTAACGTTCTACATTGTGTAATTAATGTAATTAAAGCAGTAGTTAATGGAATTAATTTAATTACTGCCGTTGTCTGCGTTGGAGTTAAAGGTTATTGCGTGCCCCTACAGTATTGACATACTTCAAATCTCCGCGTACATCGTAGGAGTTAAGGCCCAAACGCAATGTGGGTGGAAGCGGAACGGAACCGGAAAGTTTGACAGTTGTCACAAATGATATCAAGATGCCTAACCGAAGTCGATTTGGTTCTAACTAGTTTTCAATCCGACAAGCAGGCTTACTCAGATCGGGCTTTTCCGCTGCCGCTGCCGTTCCGCTTCCGCTGTCATTGCGCTTGGTCCTTTAGGCAAAGAGTGTACGTTTGAATTGCACTGTCGCCTTAATGGCCCTTCACTCATTTTCATTTTCTATTCAATTTTAATTCTGCCGTACTCTAACGGTACTATCTACTTACCCTCTTCTAAGATCATTATCTAGCTAATAAATTATCACACTAGAGCTTCATGTTAGATAGCATTTCCAACCAACTCTGAAAATCGCATGCTTCGCGTATGAAGTAGCAGAAAAACACTATGAATGCATAACAATTTTATTAGAGATACCATAAAAGGTTAATTTTTAATCCTTCTTCGTTAGTTATATTTTTGAGTGTGATTGGCCCTTTAGCATGGTGTCTGTATTTTAATATTTTTGAGTGTATTTAAATTTGGCTGATCTATAAATGCAGTGTTTTCACGACTGAACCTAGTAGTGTCAACATATAAATCTTCACAAAAAAATTCACACCCATGACATCTGCAGACAAAATTAAACACCAAAAGGAATGCAAAAGAAGTTTTCGTAGTCAAATTTAGCAGAATTTTTCCTTACTCAATAATAAACATTCGTATCGTGCTGTTCCAGCAGTGCACTTTGCTGCCCACGTCGTTAGCTCTACAAAAGTATAGGCAAAGAAATTATGAGTTCCAAAAAGATTCCTTCGTCGCCGTCTGGGAATCGCTCGTACGACAATTGTTTGCCTTCCACATCTGCTTGTAGCAGTAAGCAGCTGAATTCCTCGTCATCACCGATCAGAGAGAGCGGCAATGGCAGATCCATCTCTAGCAATAAACTTTCTACCCCGGTGGAACCAACTCCGTCGAAATGGGTCAGTCTCAATGTTGGTGGAAAAGTGTTCACTACAACCCTCAGTACGCTATTAAATAAAGAGCCTGGCAGTATGTTGGCACGGATGTTTGCCCAGGAGGACGCGATGTGTCCCAGCGATAAGGACGGTCATGGTGCCTATCTCATAGATCGCAGTTCGCAATATTTCGAGCCAATATTAAATTATCTCAGACATGGCCAATTGATCTTCGATGGTCATTTGAGTCCTGAAGGAATTCTGGAGGAAGCCAAGTTCTTCGGCATCGAAGGATTGATTCCACAATTAGAAAGCTTGGTTCAACAGCAGCAGACAGCCAACATGGAGGATCTTCCTCTAACGCGAAGAGATGTTATCAGCGCTTTGATAAAGACTTCACATATGACTGAATTGCGATTCCAAGGCGTTAATCTAGCAGGGGCCGATTTGAGAAAATTGGATCTCCGTCACATAAATTTCAAATACGCCTGCTTGCAACGGTGTAACTTATCACTTGCCAACTTGAACTATTGTTGCCTAGAACGTGCCGATCTTAGCTTTGCCAATTTGGAAGGTGCTCAACTGTTGTCCGTCAAAGGGCTCTGTGCCAATATGGAGGCGGCAAATCTGCAGGGCTGTAACTTTGAGGATCCATCCGGAGTGAGGAGCAATTTGGAAGGAGTGAACCTGAAGGGTGCCTGTTTGGAAAACAGTAACATGGCAGGAGTGAACTTACGGGTAGCCAATTTGCGGAACGCCAATTTGAAGAATTGCAATCTGAGGGCAGCTGTACTTGCCGGCGCGGATTTGGAGGTAAGTTATCTGCATATTACTGGATTCAACTTGATATATTAGGATTACATATTTCAGCGCTGCAACCTTTCCGGAAGCGATCTACAAGAGGCTAATCTAAGGGGAGCGAACCTCAAAGACGCTCAACTTGAGTTAATGCTGACTCCGTTGCATATGTCACAGGCAATTCGCTAAGCAGCGAGCGTACTTTCGGAGAAGTATAATTCTTCTTAGAACTATAAATACTGGAAGGTTTAATTATTGAATATTTTTTGGGTGGTTTATATAAATTCTCACACCGTGAGAAGCAGTATATAGGGCTAATAACATTGATTGACTGATTGTATTCGGTTGAGTTTCTTTCGTAACTTCTCGAGGAGATGCAGCAGTGGTACCTACGCAGAGGCGTATAAGTGCGTTTTAGTTGCAATAATAAAATTTAATGTTGCAATAATAACAATTCACGTAAAAAGGAACATTATAGGTAGATCTTACACCGCTAATAATATTACATCAAATCTATTTAATCATCCATCACGAATAAAATGATCGTTGAAATAAACAATTGCAATAGGTAATCTGTTCGAAAACCCAATAATAAAAGTTTCCCTCTACTGCCCACTTCTGCAAGCTTTCTTTCGAAAGGCCACCAATGGAATATGAATAAAAAAATGACGGTCTTTTTAACTAGATCAATTTACCTCATCCAGAGCAGATAAACAAAATTGTTTTCATTTTTTTTTAATTTTCTCGCTTTTCCTTGCAATTTTCTCAATATTCCTTGCACCTATTTTATCCACACTTTGCCAGATGAAACTAGAATTTATTAGTAAGTTCTGGATCAAATTTCATAAACATGTGCTTATAATGAATGTTCCGACGGAATTTTCTGTTTTGTAGTTTTGAGCATTTTTTCAATATTTTTTTTCCTGAAAATCAACTAAATCTGAAAATATTTTTGATGTAGACTATGTCTTACGGGAAGGTACAGGAGGTAAATCTAAAATTTAGAACTGCGACTGTCACGAAAAGGTGTTAAGTTTGAACACTTTTAACTGTTACTGTGTATTGTTCTCAAAGTTCTGTGCAAAGTTATCCTGAATCGGATACAGGAGAAGATCGACGCGACTCTCCGACGGCAGCAGGCAGGATTCCGTGCCGGAAGATCTTGTGTGGACCATATTGTCACGCTCCGCATCATCCTGGAGCAGGTCAATGAATTCCAAGAGTCCCTTTATTTGGTATTCATTGACTACGAAAAAGCTTTCGACCGTCACAATCACGAGAATCTGTGGGGCGCCCTGAGACACAAGGGAGTCCCGGATAAAATCGTCAACCTCATCGAAGCGCAGTATGAGGCTTTCACGTGCAGAGTTCTGCATAACGGAGCCTTGTCCGACCCTATCCGGGTAGTCGCTGGTGTGAGACAAGGATATATACTATCACCGCTACTGTTTCTCATCGTAATCGACGAGATCATGGTAGGTGCAATTGACCGTGTACCGAACCGTGGGCTGCTTTGGCAGCCTATCACCATGGAGCATCTCAACGGCTTCAATTTGGCTGATGATGTTGCTCTACTAGCACAACGGCGCTCTGATATGCAGAGTAAGCTCAATGACCTAGCCGAACGCTCGTCTGCGGCGGGTCTCACCAGCAACGTCAACAAGACCAAATCGTTGGATATCAACATGGGCAACCCTTCCAACTTTACGGTAGCGGGGCAAGCAGTGGAGATGGTCGAAAGTTTCCAATATCTTGGCAGCCAAATACCGTCGGACGGCGGGACCAAGAGCGACATAGGTGCACGAATCAAGAAGGCTAGGGCTGCCTTTGCGAGTTTACGAAACGTATGGAGATCCAACCAGATAAGTCAACGCACCAAAATCCGAATTTTCAACTCGAACGTGAAATCTGTGTTGTTATACACCAGCGAGACGTGGTGTGTATCAGCGGAGAACACTCAAAAGCTGCAGTTCTTCATCAACCGATGCCTGCGGTATATAATTTGTGCCCGGTGGCCTCACAACTGGATCTCGAATGACGAGCTCCATCGTCGATGTCATCAGAAGTCGATAGCAACAGAAATTCGAGAGCGAAAGTGGAGGTGGGTCGGCCACACACTTCGACGGGGTGGAAACGAAATCTGCAAGCAAGCGCTGGATTGGAATCCGGCAGGACATCGCAGCAGAGGCAGACCCAGGGGCTCATGGCGGCGGAGCCTCAATAAGGAAATTAAGCAAGTCGATAGGAATCTGACCTGGGCCCAGGTCAAGGCAAAAGCGAGCAGCCGCCCAGGATAGAAGTCTTTCACGTTGGTCCTTTGCACCGCTGGTGGTGCACAGGACCCTTAAGTAAGTAAGTAAGCTTTTAACTTCCCTCCCCTTGGCTAGTTGTTGCACCTTGCTGTTGGTGGGCGGGCTTAATTTCATGCTTTATAGTGGAGTGTTGTAAACGGTAGGTTTATGGCCGGCGTTGCTGGCTCATGCTGCGATAGAATGGCGCCATGGGCAGGCGGTGGGGATTACTAAGCTTCCCCTCTCTGATGAACCACTGCATGAGAGAACCAAAGATCTAGCCTAGCAGTGATAGTGTGATAACCCGTTTTATTAATGATTAATCAACTAATAATTAGTGCTTTTAATAAGAACGTTTATTTAACGATTATCTGTTCCTCTACGTTTCTCTACAGATGTCATAGTACCGTCCGTCTGCCCAGTGGTTAGCCGTACGGCATATTGACATCCGTAGCTCAGCTTCAGCCCAGTGGCTGTGGCTACTTACGGACTGCCACATCTCCCCTTTTATATAAATTTTAGATAATCCGCTTACAGTACAAAATCTCGAAACTTGTCCGGTACTCGGCGATTGCGTCGCTCCCTCTCTGGCAAAACATCCCTCTGCTGGTCTTCTTCCTCAAATCCGTGGAAACCCATTCTGTCTTCATCATCGTCTGAATCTGACTCGATGATCTTCTGAAAAGGTACATCCTGGTCCTGGTTGCTTCCGGTTTCACCCACGTCACTTATCTTCTTCACATGAGAAACGTTACGGTCGAAAACCCGTCCATTATCTTGATCCTCGATTGTGACACGTGCCCCACTGCGATTGAGGACCTTGAACTTCGTTGGGTTAAATGTTGTGGTAAGTTTGTTACCTGGAACGAGATTCTGCATAAGAACTGTATCACCTACCTCAACTGATGATTCCGTAGCCCTTCTTCTCAAATCTTCCCTCTGTTTTTGTTTTGTTTTCAGTACTTGATCACGGTCTGTATATTCGGTGCTAACCGGTGCCGTATCGATATCCTCCAAGGATGGAATCTTTGATCTGATAGTTCTGCCAAAACACAACTCAGTTGGCGTCTTTCCCGTTGAAGAGTGCGGTGTAGTATAGTACATAATAAGGTAATCCTGCAAATCCTGCTTCCAGTCACGGCCGAGAGCGTGGCTTATTTGTAAGCGCTTCAGCAAGGATCGGTTCTGCCGCTCAACTAAACCATTCTCCTGCGGCCAGTATGGTGTAGAATGGTTCAACGTAATCCCATGGGTGTTGCAGTACAGTTCAAATTCCTTTCCAACAAATTGCTTGGCATTGTCAAGTGTCATGGTACGTGGATATCCGAGTCGAGTGAAAATTCTATCGAGACGTCCAACGGTATCCTTAGCTGTTATTTTAACCATGATTTCTACCTCTTTATATCGACTGAAGTAGTCTACGATGACAAGCAGGTATTCACCCGACGGAAGTGGACCCATAAAATCTATGGCCACATCCACCCATGGTTTTGTGGGCATCATTCTGCGTGACATAGGAACCGGTTTGCTAGGAAGTCCGACTAGTCGACAGCCTTCACAATTCTTGACGTATGACGTGATATCAACATCCATCCGGGGCCACCAGACTCTATCCCGCAGCCTACGCTTCATTAAAGATTCACCGGGGTGACCTTCGTGTGCAAGGTCCAGCATCCTCTTCCGCAACTGTTCCGGCACCACCAGTTTACTTCCACGCACTAACAAATCTCCGACAAGTCCAAGCTCATTCTGGAATGGTTCGAATGCCTTAACTTCCACCCTGGTCCATGATCCAGATCGCATAGCTTCAACTACCAATCGTAATTGTTGATCCCTTTCCACCGCGTTCTCTATTTCTCCAACGTCCACTGCGGCCGATTCCGTTACCGCAAGGATAAGAAACTTATTATCCTTTTCAAACTCCACCGCGTTATCTTCTTCCACCAGCCGAGAGAAAGAATCTGCGACATTGCTTGAACCCTTCCTGTATTTAACTTCGAATGTGAAGGATTGTAAGCGTAAGACCCACCGCTCTATTCTAGCACAAGGCCTCGAAGACGGCGAGAAGATTACCTCCAGAGGTTTATGGTCGGTTTCCAATTCGAATTTCCGACCAATGAGATAAACGGACAACCGCTCCACAGCCCAAACGATTGCCAGCGCTTCACGTTCAGTCTGGCAGTAACGTTTCTCCGTTGCGGTTAAGCTCTTACTAGCGTAGCATATAACCCGAGGATTTTCATCATCACTACCTTCAAACTGTACTAACACAGCGCCCAGGGCTACTGGAGACGCGTCAGTTATTACTCTCGTTCGCAGTGAGTTATCGAAGAAGTGCAGGGTTCGAATATCGCCGATTATTTCCTTCAATCTTTCGAACGACTTTTGATGACTTTCTTGCCAAACAAAATGTTTTCCCGATTGCGTCAACTCTCGTAAAGGAGCCGTTACTGTGGCTAAGTCCGGCAAGAAACGTCCGACGTACGTTACCAGTCCTAAGAAACTGCGAACTTCTTCAGCAGTCTTCGGCGCTCGAAATCTGGTCAGGGATTCTATTTTGCTTGCAGTTGGTCGTATGCCTTCCTCTGAGATAACATGTCCCAGGAATTCAATCTCCGTTGCCTTGAAAACACACTTTCTATGGTTCAAAAGCACCTCTTTTTCTCTTAGAGTTGATAGAACCTGTTGCAATGCCCTGTCATGTTCTTCTTCTGTCTGTCCGAAAATGATGATATCGTCGATATAATTGACTGTATTCTCACAACCTGCTAGAATCTGCTCTAAGGCCTTCTGGAACATTTCCGGCGCGCAGCTGACGCCGAACATCAATCGCTTAAAACGGTATAGTCCCTTGTGAGTGATGAACGTCGTTATATCTCGGCAATCCTCCTCGAGCTCTAGTTGATAGTAGGACTCCTTAATATCAAGCCGACTGAAGAACTTGGCAGCTTTGAGGCGAGGAAGAAAATCTTCGATAGTTGGCATCATGTGGTGTTCTCGTCGTATAGCTTGATTTGCGCGTCGCATATCCACGCATAGGCGAAGATCTCCGTTATCCTTCACTATCGTCACTAGCGGTGATACCCACTCGCTGGCTCCAGTGACTGGTTCAATTATATCTGTAGTCAGAAGTGCCGACAATTTGTCTTCAATACGTGAAAGCAGAGCAATAGGTGGGCGTCTGACATGTTGTACAACAGGAGTTATAGTTCTGTCGATAGGAATTCTCAATTTGACATCCTTGATTTTAGGAAAAGGCCTT